AATGGCCCCTAGAGAAATTATTAGACCAAAGAGTAATATAAGAATCTACCAAAGAGAAGTTATAAGAGGAAAATCAAACAGAGAGTAAAGAAGTAGAGAATGAATCAATCACCATGAGTTTCTTGTGATTGAGCTTATTGAACTCAAAAGTTCTTGTGGTTTTGGTTAGCTTCAAGAATCAGAAGTGAATAAATAAGAAATTTGATTGGAAAGACTTAAGAAGAGAAGATTTGAGTTAGTGGAGGAAGGAGGCGGCTACTATAGCTGAAAAGGAGAAATTGAGGTTTTTTCTTGTTTTACTTTTGAAGTCGGTCACGATAATTTCAGAGGTTTATAGATCACATGAAAATCATTTAATATCTTCACTTTTTTTAGTAATCTTTAATTAGTTTTTTTGGACAGTATTATCTATTTGACAAATCAGTATCACTAATTTTTCTTAAAGTCCATGAGAGACACACGTATAAGTGAAGTGCACATGTGTGTGTCTCTAGAGACCCCAGAAGTAAAGGAGCTTAAGAAAAGTAGTATTATTATTAAAAACAATATTGAGTCATTGCTCTCAAATGATGATAAATAATTTTATTTTTGTTTGGCAAATTATTTTGTCGTTTGCGCCTTCCAAATATCAAGACCGAGCCGAGCCGACTATATTATTTGGTCCTACATCATTCTCAATGTGGGATATTTTTCTATCAAAATTTGAGGATATTGATATTTATTGTTTAAGTAAATCATGTTTGTGATAAATGTTCATATATAAACAAAGAGCATGAATTACTGGAAGGAAACGAGGAAAACTAACTCTGGTTGCTAAATTTAATAAGCTATATAACTAGAGAATAAAATTAATATACCCAGATAATAAAACAAAATATATATGGTCAAAGTTAGAAACAAGTGGTTTTAGTCTAATAATTAAAGATATAATTTGTTTACATCAAATATGATATTTCATTTTCTGATTAATAAATAAAAAAAATTATCAAAAATTATTAAAAGTTTTAAAATATTATATGTTTATCGTAAATTGGTTGTCGTAGAAAAAAACGTTATTTGTATTTGAATTTGGTTAAATAATCATTGTTTTTCAAAAAATAATCATTGTTTATAATAAATTAATACACCTCAAATACTTTAGTAGGAACTAAATTGTGGGGTCGTGGCTAGAGATGAAAGATCGACGGACACAAGAGGAGACACAGTCGAACTGTAGATTCTGGTCTGAGCCGTTGGATTAAAAGCTCCTTTTCGGACAGATGTGACGTGGCACACGCTTTTGTCCTTTTCTTTATCCACGCGACAAATCCTAAACCGTTGGATCGAGAAGTTTAGTGGGCCCAATATTTGCCACCTCATAAAATCGTAGGGTCTGAAAACGTCCGTCTCGTGATTCATAAATTTTAATATTTTATTTTTATAAAAACTGAAAAGAAAAAAAAGAAGATCTTATCATCTAGTGACTGAGTGTTTTTGGAACTTTACTTGTGTGCAATCTAAACTGTTACAGTCAAAGTCAAACTATGAGAAGGTTTTTAAATAATATATAATTACATTATCGTAAAGTAAACTTTTCCATTTAGATATTTCCAAGTGGAGTAGTTCAATTTCATCGTCATTTTAAAATTCTACTACTATAATTTATATATCACCGTTACATCTATTTGAATCTACTTGATAGCTTTGTTTAGGTTGGTAAACTATACAAACAGATAGATAAAAAAGATAACACGATCTGTCTTAATGTTCGACGATGAAACATATATAGCATGCAGTCAATTGAGTTTGCGTGAACTATCGAAACTCTTAAGATTAATGTATTTTTCTAGTCTTATCCTAAAATAATGC